AATCTCTGTTATATTTCTATGAAGCTTATTCCATTGAATAGGACCTTGACTTTTAAATAAAGGTCCAGATAGAGATAAATAATAAGAATTTGTTATTAATCTTACAACCTTTTTTTTTTCTTTTTTTTTGAGTTTTACGTATTTCTTTGATATTACTTGGATAATCAATCAATTAAAATAATTATGCTACAATATAGTAAATAAAGTAAAATAATAGAATTACATAAAATGTAAGTAAGATATCACGTGGGAAAAACAACTTAACTTTATTTAAGATTCCAGCAGCTTTTGAGATTTTAGGTTGAACTGAATTTAAATGGGATTTCCAGCTTAAATGTTCATTTATAGTAACTCCTAAAAATAAAATATTTGACCTACTTTATATGATATTGTTTTTGATTTTTACTTTATAGTTACCAACCTCACATGCACGTTGATACGGTCTAAATAAAATATAATTAGTTTTCTTAAAATTAGTAACTAATTTATTAGAATCAATACTTAGTAATATCTGAGTCTAATAAATGGTTGTGTCATCAGCAAATGATATAATATTTTAATTGTTGCAGGCACAATGTAAATCATTAACATAAATAATAAATAATAGTGGCCCAATACCGAATATGGGGAATAGTTTTTGTAGAAGTAGCTGATGGTAATAAGATTAAACACTTCTGTGTTTTTACGAAACCTATATTGAGAACGTGTCATGAAATTATCAAGAAAGAAAAAGTTAAGCATAAATTTTTCGAGAATTTAAAAAAGACTGGAAGGAGAGAAATTGATCTGTAATTGGAGGTTTCAGCTTTGTCCCCTTTTTTGAGAATTTGTACCAATGTGCAATTTTCAAGCTGTCAGGAACTGGAATTCCGTTTTTAAATCAAAAATGTAAAAAATGGGAGGTATTGGTGAACATATTGAATTTGCAACAAGCTTAATCATTTTTGAGGCATATGATCATAACCAAAGCTATTGGATGATTTAAGACAAAATATACTATCAAAAACTTCTTGATCAATGACTGGAATAATAAAAAATGAACAAAAGGATTGATGTTTAAATGTTTATTAGCAGAAGTGTTCATGATAGAGATTGATGTTACAGTGACCCTATTTATTGTTTTATAGTAGTAATTCACAAAAGTTACAGCATTCATTTTAAAAAGAAGCCCCCCCCCCCTCTTTACTTTGCAAAAGTAGCCTCGAAAAGAAGCCCATCCTTCTCGAACGAAAAGAAACCAATCCAAATTTCGTAAAAGAAAAAAAGAAGCCGGCTTTAATCTATCCAACGGTACCAGAATTTTTCCAATACGTTGAGTTTCAAGAGAGATATCAGCAGTTGTCTGTCAGAAGGTGAGTTTTTTTAGCCAAATCTCATGAAAATTTCAAATTGCTCTAACTCATCAAATAATGCTGGCGCGGAGCCAAAAATTTCACTGTAGGGTTACCTCAGGTAGACCCCCTAACAGGCAAAATATTGGGCGATTTCAAGGGGATCGGGCAAAAAGTGTGTTGGAACCATATGGAATGACCCAGAAGTAAAAAAACAGCAGGATAAAAACCTGTAAAACCGAACAAGAGAGGTAAAATGAACAATACAAGGCATTGCAAAGTAGTGTAAAAATTCAAATTGAAAGAATAAAACTATAAAAAATGTTCGACAATTTAAAAAATTTAATGTACACCTTGTTTGCGTGTTTTCTTTTGTATTTCGTTTACCTGGATATTAAATAAATTAAAAACATCAGGAGGATCCCTAAATTCTACCAATTTAAATAATATATCATCTTGGTCGATCGTTTGTTTATTGTTTTGTTTGTTTTCTTATTTTTCTACTGCTTTTTTTGCATTAGTTAAGTTAGCTCACTTTGAATAGGTTTGGTTCTATGCAAGCTTTACTCAGGGGGGATGTTTTTGACTTATTCTGGAGAGTCGCTTACAGCGCTTCGTAACTGAAAAGAAAGGCGCTATACAAGCAATAAGTAACAAGTAAATTTTGAATCTGACTGCCATTCCCGGCAATATAGAAGTGCCATAAACATAAAAATGTCGTTAATCAGCCCCAACCACGATAGGGCTGAGGTTGTGTCGACCCCCTATCTGTAAAATGTACGTCTGTCTGACCCTCCTCTTTCGAATTCCAGGATCAATAAACAATAATTATGCGTTGAAGTCTGGTAGGCCTTATTACAATTTAAACTATGATCAAGTGAAATAACATGCAAACAAATTAAACATTCAAGACATTAGGCCTACGTTTGAAATTTTAAACTGTTATATTACTGTTTTGGTGCATTCACGCGTTCAAGTGGGCGGAGCTAAGCAAGTGAAACATTTGTTTTCATTAAAAAGATTTGTTATCGAGTGATCTCCTCAATGGTTTCAACATCTTATAACTTATCAGTTCTTTTTAATATGGATCATATTTTAAGCAAATGGATACAAATATTATTGATAATGGTAGCGACAGTTACAAATATAGCTCTAATAGCTGGCGGATTAAACTCATTTGGTAATTTTCAACCTCACCTTGTTGACTTCTTTGAGGCGACAGTCGCCGATGTTGCTTGGGCTGCAACTTTTGCAAATTCGTCACTGAATATATTCGGTAAGTTCGAAGTAGTTATTTAGTTTTATTAATAATGTTAGTTATCACGTAATTATAGTAATTTGCATAAATAACAATAGTAATATAGTGTCCTAATGATAAAACTTAAAATGATGCTAAAAGTAAAAGATAATAATAATGATGTTTAAATGTTATTGCTATGATGCTGCTAATGCGTGATGATGATTAATGACAAATGATAATGGTGGTGGTGGTGGTGGTGATGGTGATGATGATGATGACTTACACTTTACATTTTCTCGTTATTCTTTTTTAGGAATAATAAGTGGCATCCTCATTGACAGATGCGACGTTTCTAAAGTAATGTTTGCAGGCGGAATTTTCTCGTTTTGTGGAATGTTTGGCATGGTATTTGCAACTGATGTACTACAATTGACTATATTCATTGGAGTAGTGCTGGGTAAGGAGAACTAATGCATTTTGAACGAATAGATGCATAATTATGTGTCAACATTAAATGTACAAATAAACTGAATAGGCCTAACAATTACGTTTGGGCGGACAGAGTGGTGGTTAAGACGCTCTGAGTTAAAACCACGTCAGATGTGTATAAGAGACAGAAATAAAGGTCCAGATAGAGATAAATAATAAGAATTTGTTATTAATCTTACAACCTTTTTTTTTTCTTTTTTGAGTCTTACGTATTTCTTTGATATTACTTGGATAATCCATGGAGGAAAGAAACAGTCCTCCATGGATAATCAAAGCCCCAAATAATTATACTACAATATAGTAAATGAGGTAAAATAATAGAATTACATAGAATGAAAGTAAGATATCACATGGGAAAAACAACTTAACTTTATTTAAGATTCCAGCAACTTTTGAGATTTTAGGTTGAACTGAATTTAAATGGGATTTCCAGCTTAAATGTTCATTTATAGTAACTCCTAAAAATAAAATATTTGACCTACTTTATATGATATTGTTTTTGATTTTTACTTTATAGTTACCAACCTCACATGCACGTTGATACGGTCTAAATAAAATATAATTAGTTTTCTTAAAATTAGTAACTAATTTATTAGAATCAATACTTAGTAATATCTGAGTCTAATAAATGGTTGTGTCATCAGCAAATGATATAATATTTGAATTGTTGCAGGCACAATGTAAATCATTAACATAAATAATAAATAATAGTGGCCCAATACCGAATATGGGGAATAGTTTTTGTAGAAGTAGCTGATGGTAATAAGATTAAACACTTCTGTGTTTTTACGAAACCTATATTGAGAACGTGTCATGAAATTATCAAGAAAGAAAAAGTTAAGCATAAATTTTTCGAGAATTTAAAAAAGACTGGAAGGAGAGAAATTGATCTGTAATTGGAGGTTTCAGCTTTGTCCCCTTTTTTGAGAATTTGTACCAATGTGCAATTTTCAAGCTGTCAGGAACTGGAATTCCGTTTTTAAATCAAAAATGTAAAAAATGGGAGGTATTGGTGAACATATTGAATTTGCAACAAGCTTAATCATTTTTGAGGCATATGATCATAACCAAAGCTATTGGATGATTTAAGACAAAATATACTATTAAAAACTTCTTGATCAATGACTGGAATAATAAAAAATGAATTTTATCATGGATTGATGTTTAAGTGTTTATTAGCAGAGGTGTTCATGATAGAGATTGATGTTACAGTGACCCTGTTTATTGTTTTATAGTAGTAATTCACAAAAGTTACAGCATTCATTTTAAAAAGAAGC